ATTTAAATAAGAGTCTAATATATCCTTTAACCTATTCACTCTCTCTCTCTCTCCCTCTCTCTCTCTCTCTCTCTCTCTCTCTCTCTCTCTCTCTCTCTCTCTGGAAAAGTGTATAGTTATTACCATGCAGACAATATTTAAGAGGGCACCAGCTCCTGATAAGTGTTTTCAAATTTAATTTGCAATGATTTCAAAGAACAATATGTCACTTATTATCAAATATCCTTTCTATCAACAATAACACATCCAATTGCACATCTCGTTGATACCTCAACTTCATAAAAAAATGTAATGCAACACAATACAACTACTCATTACCATATGCACATATAATAAATGCTTATCTCATCCATGTAAATTACAGTTGTTGGCAAATGACAAACATGAAATCTGTAATTCAGTGACAAAACTAATCAATGTTTCGTATGTTGAGAACATTGTCTACACGCAATAGGGCATTTTCCTCTTCTAAAGCAAAAATAATACAACAAAACTAGTGTTCAGAGAGAGACAATTATGATCCTTAAAAGGGTAAATTTCTTGAAATATTGATTACATTTAAACCTATAACAGTAAAAAAGCAATACTTTCGCAAGAAGATTAAGTAGAGCATTGAGTTGACTTTTATATAACTGCTATTCTTTGTCTCATGGAATTGAGATGCCATGGCATTATGGGAAAAACACAAATTGCAGTTTACAGAGTTTGATCATTACATTTATTGAGATCAAACATCACCTTTTCCCTAAATAACTCATTAGACAATGGATTTTGCGAGATGATATCAATTTCACTCACTAAAATTTAAAAGCTTTGGCTCTACTTTATGTTCAGTTTGTTAGAATTGCGTCTAATACGACTTAAATGCATTGTTATCTTCGAACAGAGAAAATGACGTGAAGTGGATTTTTTTTTTTTTACTCATTATCATCATCAACACTTTATCAATCGATTGTAAAAACTGGTTAGATGCTAACTTTCACAAGTGGGCTTTGTTTTATTATAATAAAAGTAAGGAAAACGTCACGGAATCTTCCCAATCTGTTAGACATCTTGAAGATAAAGTATGTTTCACGAATATAAACATTTAATATACGATTTATGTTTACGAAATAAAAATTTGTAAAAATAAAAATTTTATGTCAGTTTTCCTTCTCAATCCAGAAAAACCGTTCACGGTAGCTCAGTCGGTAGAGCGCTCGCTCCGTGATCGGGAGGTCGTGAGTTCGAATCTCGGCCGCGACAGACCTAAGTCGATAAAAAATAGGTAGCAACTGTTCCTTCGCCATGCGCTCGGCACTTTGAAGTGAAAGTTGCGGGTCCTTCAGATGAGACCTTAAAAACCGAGGCCCCGTGTCACGGCAGGCGTTGGCACGATAAAGATCCCTCACTGCTCAATGGCCCTGAGTGCCGAGTAAAGGTCAAAATTTGAAGCCCTATATGGTGACGTCTCTATATGAGTGAAAGATTCTCGAATGGGACGTAAAACAATATACAATCAATCAATCCAGAAAAAAATTATTTGTGAATGCAAGTACTTAAAAATCTTTTTATTTCTTTTTCGTACATGTCTTAGATCACAATTCAATTATATTAAAAAAAAGTATGAGTATTCAATCGTGAATCTCCTAACAAAATGCCTGACATGACTTCAAGCTTGGTAGAATTTTAAATTGCCATTGTTAAGATAATGACCGTAATAAAGGCCACTATGAAATATTGATAAGTAAGGAAATGTTAACATAAGGTCAAACATCGATTGATGTGAATTGCTTTCGCAAAATAGTTTGAAAGAGTAAGTGAAAAATTATGCAGGAAACACTTTTCTAAGGAGTATCATTAGTTAGACTTCAAGGACTTCTGAATATATGTTTATTAAGTACATTATATATTAAACAACATACTATTCTGGTTCCGTCAATAAATACTAGTTATGATATTCATTGTCATAAAACATGGCATTATCTCTGAAAATAATGACAAGGCTTAAGGTTCAGCCACTACAGGTCGTATGGTCCATTACTTTGAATGAGAGAATTGTGGTTCTTAAAGCCATTGTCCCAGCTTGTATCCAAATGTTCGATATTAATTCTATTGCAGGTTTATTACGTTTTCATGATAGAATACAACATAAACATAGTGTTATATTAAATGTATGAAATAATTAATAATGGCAGAGAAAAAATAAGAGAAGAAAATATGTAGAAAATTGATATATTGAATGATTTTTAGGTAAGTCAAAATTTCATACATGTAGTAATAGATTCATGTCTTAATTCTTATACTCATAGTTCCCTTTCTAAGGAAGAAATTCTTCAAAATCATATGTCAGTTTTGAATATTTTTAATATTCCAAACAACCAAAATGAATTTGATTTATCATATTTATATTGGATTCTGAAACTTTATAAAAATCCTTACAAACAAAGATACATAGCGCGTTCCAGTAAATGTTCAACCAAGCCTCTATCTTCACTCCTCACTAAGATATTAGCAGTGGTGAAGGAGAAACTTCAAGAGTACTGTGCAACAATATATTCGAGAAGTGGTGTAAATCAGATGTGGGTACTTAAAAATTCCAAGGAACTTTTGGAAATTTTGAAATCACAAGATTTTACCAGAATCAACAGCTTAAAAACTTATGATGACTTTTCATCTTTATACACAACCATTCCCCACGATAAATTAAAGTCCAGGCTTTTTGATATCATTGACAGCTGCTTTTTCAATACAAATGGAACTCGTAAATATACTAACCTTATCATTGGTCATTTTCAAAATTATTTTGTTAAAAACATTCTGATTGTACACACAAGTACTCTGAAGTTGACATTAAAAAGATGCTTGAGTTTCTGATTGACAATTTCTATGTGGTTTTTGGAGACCAGGTCTTCCAACAATCTATTGGAATACCTATGGGTACCAATTGCGCCCCGTTATTAGCAGACCTTTTTTGTATTCATATGAAGCAGAATTTGTCCAAAATCTTGTACGTGAAAAGAAGAAAACACTTGCTGTGGCCTTCAACTCGACATTTAGATATATCGACGAAGTATTATCAATTAACAATGGCTATTTCCATTCTTATGTCGATACGATATATCCTGGTGAGCTTGAGATAAAAGATACCACAGATTCTGACACATCTGTTTCATATTTGGATATTTTACTTGAAAAAGACGTTAATGGTAATCTAACAACCAAGCTTTATGATAAACGTGATGACTTTAACTTTTCAATCGTCAACTTCCCTTACTTATGCAGCAATATACCTTCATCACCTGCATACGGGGTATATATCTCTCAGTTAATTCGATACGCAAGAGCATGCTCTACGTATGTACAATTTCTAAAACGAGGTAAATTATTGACAAATAAATTGATGAAACAAGAATATCAGCTGTCTCTTTTAAAGTCATCATTTCGTAAGTTCTATGGTCGATACAATGACCTTGTCAGCAAATACAATTTATCATTGAGTCAAATGCTGACTGACGTTTTTCATACTAATTGTTAGGCCATTATTTACACACTGAATTGTCGACGGATTTTTCCGTTATTTCCCGATCATGACAAGGAGCACGCGGCGGGTGTGACCGGTCGGCAGGGGATAATCACTCCTCCATGGCACCTGATCCCACCTCTGATGTTTGGAGGTCCGTGTTTGCTCTGCTCCTATTTTGTATTGTTAAATGGACTTTTGAGATTGAATACTGTTCGTTATCTCCATATATTTCATTCTCAAAGTTTAAGAGAAAGCTTTGAGAAATTAGAATATGCTTCGAATTTTAGTCACTTAAGGGTTAACGCTTTTGAAAATGACCAACAATCTCATCTCTTAAGGTTAATCCCCCCCCAACCCCCCCCCCCCTCTGTTTTATAAGATATATATATATATATATATATATATATATATATATATATATATATATATATATATATATATATATATATATATATATATATTGCTTTCATTCTATTTATTTTTTCAAAATCAATTTAAATCATGCTTGTAATGCTAAAAAGTTTAAGCATACTTTTTACTACAACTACCTTTTAACTTTACAATAGTTTAAGGGAATAAAAATCACCAATTCCAAATGAGAGTAAACTGTCTTATCAGAGGAACAATGTGTGTACCATAAAATTAACAAAAATGCTCTTGGAAAAACAAAATGTTTGACAAACAAACAAAAGGACATACAACTGGATAATATATATGTTGGAGGAAAGGAAACAATAGAAGTTTCTTTATTATGGGATAGGTATATTTCTTTTTGAAGGTTTGTTATAGATGATGTATCCATGGATGTAGATGAAACAGACATTTATCTGAAATTTCTGCCCCACTAACACACCATGGCTATTGACTAAAAAGCAACAGCGTAGACCCTTTAAAAATAAGTCCAAGATATTCACAAATATTTCTTAAACACCCATACATTTAGGATATACATGTATAAACTTACTGGATAGAAAAAAAGTATCAAAATATCAAGGTCATATCAGACCCTTTGTTAAAAAATACAAAAAAATACACACACGCAAAATGCCTCTGTGCTCGCGTGACATTGGATGAATATTTGCTGTAGGTCTGGTTTTAGTATATTATTTGTGAATGAATACCGGGGGGTACTATGAAATAGACTAGCAAAGACACGTATACGTGTATAACTTTAAAAATACAAGAAACTATTGTGTCACAGTTGTAGTAAAAGTCTCAATATATTTCTTAAAAAGGTGTTACTCGCAAAAGTATTTTATCAAGAGGCGCTTCCGTCTGGTACAGGTAATCTGCCTTTCAATTCAATCGTAATTTTGAATCTTTACCCACAGTTTAATTAACTGCAGCCTTAACCATATCAAAGAATTTCTTCCTTGTGGTTGAAAAACATTTAAATTTTTTAACGTTTGACAAATATTTGATAATCTAACGTTTTCTCTTCAAATAAAAGTTAATTTCCAAAAAAAGCTTTTATATATACTAGTTAATTGCTTACCTATAGTTATGTTGGATCCTCCCACAAAACAAATAATGAGAAGTACAATAAGTAAATTAAACACCGGAAGCCAAAGTCCATTCTTTTTCACAAGAATCACTTTTAAAGACATGTCAGTAGTTTCCATTTATGTTTCCTTTCGATTAAATATACATATTCCTAGTGGAATCAAATTTCCATACATTTTTTTAAGGTTCGCATCAATATATTCATCTTTTTCGATGTAAAATTTTATAATTCCTCCTAGCATGCGAAAGTTAATGTATTTTCACCTAATTATTGATAATCGTTGATTATTGAGTTGTTTTCTAATGTAAATTGAATTGAAACATAACAAGTTAAAATGCATTATTGTGTTAAACTGCATATCACAAACTTTCTAGCGAATGTCTATCACTAATCAATATAGTCGCTACCAGGTTCACTCGTCTAAAAGGATGATCTCAAATAGGATAGAACTGTGTCTCTTTTATCAAGGTATCGATCTTCAATGTAACATTGTTACTTGCTGAAGGTAATCATTAAAATAAAAAAAAATGTTTAATTAAGTGATGCGTATAAAACTACATTGTTATGACTTATATAAAATATTTCAATAATTGTCATAAAACTCTCGATAAAAACAGGATTAACTTGAGTTCATAATAAACTTGGGTTTTTTTTTTCTTTTGATCCCCCTAGAAAGATATTTTCAAACCGGCTATTTCACGAAAACCTTTGCGAAGAAGGTATTCCTTGTTCAGGTTTCTATGATATATGTCTTTTAAGAGTCATTCTTTGTAATGACTTGCAACTAACATAGCAGCTGTGGACCGCATAATCTCAGAATGTCCCCAAACTCTCTCTGATAAAAGTCTTTGATACCATAAACTCCAATCAGACAAAAATAGGTTGCTATGTGTCATGGTTATCATGGCAACATGCCTTTAAGATTGAAAAATGACATTTTTAACATGTTCAGAGTCCCATAGGTAACGCTTATTAAGTATTTTTAAGTATTAATGACTTAACAAAAGTTGAAGACCTGAAGTTAAATGCATGATAAACATATCTGTGAAATCAGCTATTATATGTGTTACTATGGAAACTACATGTAAGTATTCAAATGTAATTATTTTACTCATTCATTTTTAAAAAGTCATTCACTTGAAAATAAAAGCAATTATAGGTTAAAATACATCCAAAAATCCTTGTTTCACATACATGTACCAAGGGCAAAATGTGATATTTCTTGTTAATTGGCAAAGATTGCCATGGTTTTAATGCTACTAAAGGATTTCAGATTTACTCTCTGTTTGTTTTAATCTGATCATCTCTGTTTAAAAAGCACTTTAATTTTTTTTATGTAACTGGAGATTTATTTTCAAAGGCATTAGTGTTGTCTTAATTTTCACATTTAGAAAATTAATTCTTTAAATAGACCGTTGCTATGGAAGTAAACAGAAACAAATATTCCTTTTAAAAGAATGATCGGCATTGGATCATAAAGTCAATATTATAAAATATCTTGAAATAAGTAATATAAGCACTTATAGGTTAAAATACAACGAAATAATAGAGAAAGATCCTTGTAACACATACCAAGGGCAAAATGTGATATTTCTTATTGAATGCAAAGGTTGTCATGGTTTTAATGCTGCTAAGGGATTTCAAATTTACGCTCTGTTTGTTTTAATCTGATCCTATCTGTTTAAAAAGCACTTTAGTTTTTTTTTTTATATAACTGGAGATCAACTTTCAAAGGCATTGGTGTTGTCTTAATTTTCACCTTTAAAAAATTAAATTCTTTAAATAGAGCCTTACTGTTGAAATAAGCAGAAAGAAATATTCCTTTTAAATTTAGCATTATAAAATATCTTGAAATACGTTTTTAGATATATCTTTTATTTTAATTAACTTAAATTAATATTTTTTCTATGAGTATGTATGTATATATTTAATTTCACAATTTTTCTCAACCGAGTATAACGTGTAAAGCCATACCAAATTTAAATTCAAGAACAAATTTTAACAGGGCAATGTTGTTATATAGAGTAGTATGACCACATTATGTTGCCTTTCAAAATTTTTCTTGTAACCGGAAATATGTAACGTTGATTTTGTGAAACAGGACATGAAATCAAATTGACAAAAATCTTTGTAGAGAAAAATAACTCTGCAGATAAATTAACTATCAAACTTTTTACAGAGCTATTAATTAAAGTTGCAAGGAAATAAAACTTAAGCAGTCATGCATGTACTCTGCTCAGTTCCTCACCTACATGTAGATAGGTGGGGCAATGTGATTTCTTGTTTTGACTATGTGATGTGTCAAGCACTCTTAAAAATCAACATTATGGTAAAATTCAAAATAAATCTAGACTGAAATGATGAGATTTGAAACTTCTTAAAAAAAGATAATATGCTGAAAGTCCTCAATGCTATAAATAAACAGAATATTAGCACGTTCTTATGCCCTGTTCACACGGAGAGTGTAATTCGAATTAAACGTAAGTTACTGCGAATTAAAGAACTGGGTACGTTAAGACCGATTTACGGCCATGTAAAATCGGCAAAAATTAAACGCACGATTACATTTTATCAATTGTATCAATTAACTGTTAAGGTTTCCCTGTGTGTGAAAAAGGAATCAATTTTTCTCAACTCACGTGCCCTTTCATTAATATAACGTTCAAAACCGGTCTAATATTCCGGAATTCCCCTGTTTTGGACGTTTTCCTCCTCTTCAGGTCTATATTTCGATATGGCCGCATCCGAGTATGTATGCCAAACTTTGCAGAAAGAACAAATATACTACGATTTTTAATATTAAAGAGAAAAAATAACCTTACAAAAGTGTGGCCACATCCGTTTTTACAAAATATTGAAGTAAAAAATGCTGCATTTTTGGATAGACGTCACCTTTTCTCCACAATAAAATCTATATTTTTAAAGAAATTAATTGCTTAATTCTGTATCTGAAGGCTTTAATATTTTTTATTGTCTTTTAAATTCAATTCTGCATTTGAAAAAAAATTGATTTTATATAATTATTTATGCAAATGAAAACCATATAAACCTTTCTCAGTGAAATTTATTATGGGACATTACATGTAACTTAATGACGCAATGCATTGAAAAAATGACGTCACAAAGAGCAATCATGTTGAAAATATGTACTTGAAACAAATTCTTCAGTCTTCGCAACTATGATAAATATTCAATCAATATTTATAGCGTGAAAAAGTATAATTTAACGACATCAGTTAGGATGGTTCAGACAATTAATTTTCATTTAATCCTACATGCACCTCCAATTAAAACGCGCGTCTCCTTCATGGTGGACATTGACTTTATCTGACTTCAAGAAAAGATTTTTTAATATTTCTATTTAAAATCATCAGCTTTCTTAAGTATGTTTTATTCTTTTTCAACTTATATATGTCTGGGATTCATGAATATCCAAAGACAATAGCTAATGATTGGGGCGGGGAAAGGGGGGAGGTAGATGGGAAGCTTGGCGTATAGCAGTCACCACTTGAACATTTCTTTCCAAAACTTGCTATCCTTGTTACTGTATTGTTGCAGATTTTTATTTCAGAATTAAAGGATTCTAGTGTTTTATCGCATAATCAGGAAGTGTTTTATATATGACTAAATACTTCTAAATCTGCCACTGCCGACCTACATTTACTTACTGAAGGTCAGCAGCTGGGAATGGATGATTATATTATTAATTATATATATATGTTTATGATGCTGATCGGAATATTTGACATCGGTGTTTTCAAGTAAAATCGGGTTTAATTTATAATTTACAAGGAATTTTAGATAATTATGTTGACCAAGTTTATAAGGCTTAAAAACGTATACAGTGATGTACGCTTCCGGCATTTTCTACGAAAATTTAAGTGAAACATGATAAAATCAACCTTTTTTTGTCTATAAATAAAGATTATCTGTTCCTAGTTCTGTAAGAAATACAAACACGATCCTGCATTACTTGTGGACAAGACACCCCCCTTTCCGCCCCATAATCAATGGTTTAACTCGATTACTATTTTTTCAGAAATTACTTTCCTAATACATTTTTAAGGCATCCCAAGTCTTGAAATGAAAAAAAAGATTACTCTATAGATATTTATCTGCATAAAAAAAACGAATGTACATATTAACTACATGTACACTGTTGTTAATCTTGAAGTAAGCGAGTATTTTCAAAAGGATTTTATCCAGATTATCCATGAAATAATAATAACACATTTCATAGGAAATATGTTCAGTATTCCAATGGATGTTCATCGGGGCTGGAGGAGCGTACTGTCCAATATCACCTCTTTGAAAACGGTGCACATTATCTCTGAATTTTAAAAATTCAAAGTCGGTCTATGATGATAATCCGTTCCAGAAAAAAAAAAATTAAAAGTATTTTATCGTTATTACAAGGACAATTGTAAGAACTGCAAAGGAAATGCCCCAGAGAGTTAATGTATCCAAATGAAGTGATAAAATTATCATTGTCACCGAAATATTTCAAATATCTTACCTACGGTTGTGTAACATGTAAACATAGGGAGGAGTTCTAAAGAAAATCTTTATCTATTTTAATGCAGTTTTTGTCTTAGTAGATGACTAGATCTGATGTTTCGTCATGTCAGCAGTTTGTTAGGTATATTTTTAAAGATTTTTTATCACACACTAACATGAAAAAGAAACAAAATCAAGCTAGTGATATTATAATCCGGGAATGGCAAGGATAACTCAAGGAAGCACTATGACGTGTTTTGCGAATTGTTCTCACAAGTAACAAAATAACATCAGATTTCGTATAATTTGATAACTGAAATAGAAATAAAATCTCTATGTAGCTTATCAAAAGTGAATTTTGATCTTTTATGTGAGTGTTCTGTTATTGTGCATCTCGATTATTTGTATTTTGTCTCTATGTAAATAGAAGTGGGGGGGGGGGGGGTGTTACTGATAATCAAGTTATACATGTACTGTAATGAATACCAATAAAAAAAAAAATTATATCAAGAATTTGATTTAAAACTAAATACATCCCTTTCCAATTTCCTGTGGCTTCCCA